TATAATATACAAGTTTCACTTTTTAAATGGAATTACTGAAATAAATCTACTTTTTCATGATATTCTAATTTTATGACCAGCACCTGTACATGCAGATATTTGTCAGTTAACGAGTTTTGTAATTACACTGTCACTTGTTTGATCAGATTTTGACACATCCGTCATGTCAGATCGTGTTTCAGGTATTCGGCCTGTTTTTTTTTTTTTTTTTTTTTTTTTTTTTTGCTTTCAAGCAGCAAGTTGACGTAGCAAGTAAAACATGCTTGTATTAAAATGTAGGAAGTTATTATAGTATTGTCCTGATGCATCTCAGTAATCCAGGTTAAAAAAAAAAACAAAAAGAAAAAAATTGTATAGGTCTTCTGGACAGGTTCTTCTCTAATGAAACGTTTCGTCTCTCCAAGAGACTTCGAAGAATAATTTTTTTCTTTTTTTATTATAGTATTATTTAAACAAGTCTGTTTGTACTTCTGCAGCAGTGATGGTGCATTTCACATGGATTTAGCTAATCCCTTTCTGGGACAAATTCATCAGGTCATGAAAGCTTAGCAAAGTGTAATAATCACTTTTCTCAAGTTGACACGTTTCAATTAAAAGTAACATGTTAAAATATTATAATGACTAGGGCTGCCACAAACGRTTATTTTTATAATCGATTAATCACCAATTATTTTTTCGATTAGTCGACTAATCGGATCATACGTTAATTGATTATAAAACATAGAGCTTATCGTGCCAGAATGCAGCTGCTATTATATAACCATCGTTAGATTTTAGCTATGATTTGATTTTGATTTATTGATTCAACAGGAAAAGGTTGCTAAAAATCAAGCCTGACTCGGCATAATTGCTGTTTTACAGCAGGTTCCTGTTCTGCAGCACATAAAACAATCAGAAATACAGCATCACAATCACATCACTATACACCATAGACACAAAGACAAACAAGCATACCAAATTTCAGGAAGGCAGCATTTGCAAAATAGGATGTCTAAATATGAGCACTACACTCACCGGCCACTTTATTAGGTACACCACGCTAGTAACGGGTTGGACCCCCTTTTGTCTTCAGAACTGCCTCAATTCTTCGTGGCATAGATTCAACAAGGTGCTGGAAGCATTCCTCAGAGATTTTGGTCCATATTGACATGATGGCATCACAC